TACCCTTTGGATTAGCTCTGCTTTAGACCCCGTGTGATAAGGTCCAAACAGAGGGTTGGACTGGATGATGGTTCTTAGGATCTCTTCCAACTCTACCTTCTCAGTGGTGAAAAGGAACTTCATAAGGACTGGCTGATGCCCTGCCTTTATTAACTAGAGGTCTTGGAAGGATTGAACTAGCAACCTTTCCTGTCTTGATCAGATGCTCTGCCAATATGATACGGGCCTTCCCGATAAGCCTGACAGCGTGTGTCCAGCTACCCTGTCACGGTACAAGATGCACAGATGGCAGCTTGGGATGGCACCCATAAAATGTGTCACCCGACTCGGCAAGGCAATTAGCACAGCTTCTGTCTGTCGAGAGAGCTGGCAAGGGAAGAAGGTTCTCTCACCTCCAGTGCTGTCAAGTTCATAGTCGACACACTCCGTTATTCCTCCATCAGGCACAGGAAATAGCATGCACAGTGGCATCTAAAATTGGGACCCGACATCTGCTAACTCTCAGGCTGCGTCACGTACACTTGAACACCTGCTGGAGCAAGTGCATTCCCCCCCCCCCAAAAAAAACCCAAAAATCTTCTCCACTGTCAGCCCTGGTTTCTCACAGTAACCTTTTGGGGAAAATAACCTTAAAAGAAACATAGAATAGAATAGAATAGAATAGAATAGACAAGAATGATGTAGGATCTCAGCCACGGTCAAATATATTACAGAATCCTAGAGTTGGAAGAGACCTCAACGACCATCCGGTCCAATGCCCTTCTGCCATGCAGGAAGACACAGTCAAAGCACTCCCAACAAATGGCCATCCAGCCTCTCTTTAAAGACCTCCAAAGAAGGAGGCTCCACTACTCTCCAAGGCAGCACCTTCCACTGTTGTAGAGCTCTTACCATCAGAAAGTTCTTCCTAATGTTGAGGTGGAATCTCTTTTCCTGCAGCTTGAATCCATTGCTCCATTGGGTCCTATTCTCTGGAGCAGCAGAAAACAAGCTCTTCATCCTCATTATGACATCCTTTCAAATATTTAAACGTTGCTATCATGTCACTCCTTAACCTTCTCTTCTCCAGGCTAAACATTCCCAGTTCCCTAAGCCGCTCCTTATAGGGCTTGAGGTTTCCAGGTCTTTCACCATTTTAGTCGCTCTTCTCTGGACACAAAACATGGATAAGGTGATGCCCATGTTGTGAGGAGAAGTGATAAACATTTCATATGCTTACGTGTTCCAGTGTGTTGGAACATGACATGACGATCATGATGAAATGTTGTATTATGAGTGTCCAAAAAATGCTTGGTGGCAAAACCTTGGGCTCATCCACACTACAGACTTGTATCACTATAGCTCCACTGCAACTGCTATGGCTACATCTCCTTTAGCATCTTGGGCTTTGCAGTTTGATGGGGCACAAGAGCTTTATGGTGGAGAAGTCTAAGGGGGGGTTGCAGATTGCCAGAAATAGTGCAAATTGAGTCCACTTTTAGGGTTAGGGTTAGTGCTAGAGAATCATGGGAATTGTTTTTTTCTGAGACATTGAGCCTTCTCTGTCAGAGAGCTCTGATGCCACAATAAACTACAGTTCCCATGATTCCCTAACCCTAACCCTAAAAGTGGACTCAATTTGCACTACTTCTGGCAGTCTGCAACCCCCCTAAATGTTCCCCTCTAAACTGCAGATCCCTGGATTCCATAAGATACACCCATTGCAATTAAAGTGGAATCATAGCTCTATAATTATGTTCTATGAAATGACTCATGGCAAAGCCTAAACAGCGTCAGTTAAATGTCACGGCTGTTGTCTATGAGAGATCTTCACACAGTCATCATTGGAACAATCACTTCTTTTCTGCTGATATGGCTGTTATTCTGGGAAGAGGATGGATGCCCATAAGGGTATGTCTACATTGTAAAAATCATGCAGTTTGACACCACTTTAAGTGCTGTAGCTCTATCCTACAGAATCATGGGATTTGCAATTTTTACAAGGTCTTTAGCCTTCTCTGAGTTTTGCTTCACAACTCCAAACCCCAGGATTCTGTCAATGCAGCCATGACAGTTAAAGTGGTGTCAAACTGCATGATTTCTACAGGGCAGATGCACCCTGAGGTCTGAACCCTTGGATTATAACCCTATAGGAAGGGGCTGTCTTTTCTGTCCATGAGCTTTGCTGGCTAAATGTGCACGCAAACAAACTAATAAAGGTAAGGGAGGATGTGAATCAACGTGGTTTCAGCATTGCACTACAACTCTGGAGACCAGGGTTCAGATCCTTGCTCAGCCAAGGGAACCCACCGGTCAACCTTGGGCAAGTCGCACTCTTTCAGCCTCAGAGGGAGGCAAACATGTCCAACCTACGCTGAACAAATCTTGCCAAGAAAACCCTGCAATAGGTTTATCTTGCTGTTGTGTGCCTCCAAGACATTTCCAGCTTATGGTGACCCTAAAGCAAATCTATCATAGGGCAGTCTTGGCAAGTTTCTTTGTGGGGGGGGGGAGGTTTGCCACTGCCATCCTATGAGGCTGAGAGCATGTGACTTGCCCAAGGTCATCCAATAGGTTTCCATGACCCAGCCAGGATTCAAAGCCGGAAAGGATATGAAGGCAGAAAAAACAACAAAGGAGGACCCTATTGTTTATGGTTGCATTCAAGAGGGACTTGTAGCTGGTTGAGTTTGTTGCTTCTGAGGTTTGCAGTGGAGAATCGAACCTCCTCATCCAAAAATTGAACAGGGAAATCTCTTCTTCTCAATGCCCCTTGAATGTATAAGGGGGTTCATCTTTTTTTGGACCTTGACTGCTTCTCCCCACTGCACCCCACTGCCTCTCTATGACCTGAGCCAGGAAAGGGTTACAGATTCTCCAGTTCTAGCCCCCTTTTTGTAAGATTCCAGGGTCTTAAATCTGTCTTAACCAATCACTC